CGGTGGATCGATCTAATGCACAAATGTAAGAAAACTGCACCGTATATTGTGGCAGATACAAGGGCTTATCTTGATCATGATATGTTTGCTATAATGTCCGGTCCAACAATTGCTGCCATTTCTGTGGTTTTTGATCATGCAGAACATGAAGAAGTTTATCGAACTTGCATTGATGGCTTCTTAGCTGTCGCAAAGATATCAGCCTGCCACCATCTTGAAGATGTTCTTGATGATTTAGTTGTTTCTCTTTGCAAGTTTACAACCCTTTTAAATTCATCTTCTGTCGAAGAACCTGTTTTGGCATTTGGTGATGACATGAAAGCTAGGATGGCCACTGTTACGGTGTTCACTATTGCAAATCGCTATGGGGACTATATTCGCACAGGGTGGAGAAATATCCTTGACTGCATATTAAGGTTGCACAAGCTTGGTCTTCTTCCTGCCCGTGTTGCTAGTGATGCTACGGATGACTCAGAGCTATCTTCTGATCCTGGGCAAGGGAAGCCCCTCACAAACTCATTATCTGCATCTCATTTGCCATCCATGGGTACTCCTAGGAGGTCTTCTGGGCTGATGGGCCGGTTCAGCCAATTGTTATCTCTGGAAACAGAGGAGCCCAGGTCACAGCCCACTGAGCAACAACTTGCTGCTCATCAGCGTACACTCCAGACAATCCAGAAGTGTCACGTTGACAATATATTTACAGAGAGCAAGTTTCTTCAAGCCGAATCTCTATTGCAGCTTGCACGAGCACTCATATGGGCTGCTGGTAGGCCTCAGAAAGGGGCTGGTTCACCAGAAGATGAAGACACTGCTGTTTTCTGCCTTGAATTATTAATTGCTATTACATTGAACAACCGAGATAGGATTGTTCTTCTTTGGCAGGGGGTCTATGAGCATATTGCAAATATTGTACAGTCCACTGTCATGCCCTGTGCCTTGGTTGAGAAAGCTGTATTTGGACTTCTTCGTATATGCCAGCGACTGCTTCCTTATAAAGAAAACCTAGCTGATGAGCTTCTTAGATCTCTGCAGTTGGTGCTCAAGCTCGATGCTCGAGTTGCTGATGCATACTGTGAGCAGATCACCCAAGAGGTGACTCGCTTGGTCAAAGCAAATGCCACTCACATTCGATCACAAATGGGTTGGCGCACCATTACTTCTCTTCTTTCTGTCACCGCCCGACACCCAGAAGCTTCTGAATCAGGATTTGATGCTTTGGTGTTTATGATGTCTGAGGGGGCCCATTTGTTGCCTTCTAATTTCATTTTGTGTATAGATTCTGCTAGACAATTTGCAGAGTCTCGTGTTGGACAATCTGACCGATCCATTCGTGCTCTGGATCTTATGACTGATTCTGTGGGTTGTCTAGTGAAGTGGATTTGTGAAACCAAGGAAGCTGTGGAGGAGGATGCTGTAAAAATGTCTCAGGACATTGGGGAGATGTGGCTGAGACTTGTGCAGGCCCTAAGAAAAGTTTGTTTGGACCAGAGAGAAGAAGTCAGAAATCATGCTGTTTCATCCTTGGAGAAGTGCTTGACTGAAATGGATGAAGTCCATCTTGCACACAGTCTCTGGTTGCAATGTTTTGATATGGTTATCTTCACAATGCTTGATGATTTGCTTGAAATTGCCCAGGGGCATTCTCAGAAGGACTATCGTAACATGGAAGGGACACAAATTATTGCCATAAAGCTCCTCTCTAAGGTTTTTCTGCAATTACTCCCTGAACTCTCTCAATTGACAGCATTTTGCAAACTATGGCTGGGCGTTCTTAGTCGGATGGAAAAATATATGAAAGTCAAAATTAGAGGAAAGAAGAGTGAAAAGCTCCAAGAGCTAGTGTTAGAACTATTGAAGAACACACTAGTAGAAATGAAGAACAGTGGAGTCCTTGCTCAGAGGAGTGCATTAGGTGGAGATAGTTTGTGGGAATTAACATGGTTGCATGTTAACAATATCTCTCCATCTTTGCAATCTGAAGTATTCCCAAGCGCAGGAGTTGAAGACAGCAGTAATGAAACTTCTGCTGAACCTGTGGCCTCAGAAAGCTGATGTTGTGATTCATTCTCAAGCTTAATCTCAATGGAGACAATGTTCTCATTTCTGCATACTATGAGTGAGATGATGGTCTGCCTAACGGCTGAAGTGTGTAATCGACTGATTGCTGGTTTATACATAGGGTGGTTGATATGATATGTAGGTTGTAGAGGAGAGAATGAGAAAGTATGTACACAATTCTGTCATGTGTTTTGTTCAGTTAGCCAGATGGTGTTGAAGATAGAATTTTCTCGGACTGGTTTCTTGAGGTTCTGCAGTTTTCCTAGGTATATAGAACAAAATGAATGTACCTTGAATATTTTGATTAGTCAGTAAAAGAGAAAATTTGCTGCTCCTCGATTTAGATAGTTACAAGTTAGACTTAGAGCATAATATCGTTGTGTAATTGATGTACAGATATTCATCCTGAAAGTTTTAGTCCATTCTATGTTAACTGTTAATTGTCATCTTGTATCTTTACCCCTTAATAAAATTCTTGATTGCTGATGCACATACCAAGTGAAACATTTATCTTCGCTTGGATTGGCATTTTTTTTTTTTTTTTTTTTGGGAAAACCTAAAATAGGAAGTGCTGGTAGTGCCTTTTAATTTTTAAAAGTATACAAAAGCTTAATAAACAATTAAACAGCAATTTGGAATTTGGGTACTATTTAGATATTTTGTGTTGAAACTTTGACCATGCAGTATTTTATATCTGCTCTAATTTGCATCCTTTCTTTCATTTGGAACTATATTATTGCTAAGAGCCTGAGATGGATTTCTAACCATTATATTCCCTACAGACTCATTTCATCCTTCCTGAATTACTGATGCAAAAAAAAAAAAAAAAAAAAAAAAAAAAAGTGAATTAAGCCCATTAAAAACTAAGTTTTGATTCCATATTGATACAATATATGATTTGAACCTAACAAATTGATTTTCTAATGATCTTTTTGGAGTTGACCCACTTGATGATTAATATGCTATCTGATGAGAAATTGAATGTTAAGAGTTTCAAGTTGTATCTTATTGGGAATGGATGCCCATTTCATATGCTTGAATGCCAAGAGCTTTTGGCTACATTGAAAAAAATTGTGTTGTACTTAATTGAAAATTGGATAACATTAAGGGAATGAATGAACCTGGAACTCTCTCAACCAAGAAACTAATCCCAATTACACATATCTTTACCATAAAACATTGTAATTTTGCGAGTATCGTGATAATCAACTAATCAATATCGACCGTTATATTTAGGATGCTCATGAATGTTCTAGACATATTGCCCAGAACTTTGGTATAAGGTGACCAACCTTCACACTTAAGTAGGTGATTGATTTTATCAAGTTTATCACATAGACCACTCTAGGATATGAATCATTAAAAGCCTTTACTCATCCTCACAAATTTTGATGCATTGAATTACCCCCATCTCAATAAGACTACCTGAATTTTGTATTATGATTTGAGATGACAGACGGACGGTGCAATTGCGAATAGCCTCTCTCTCATACCCACACCCACACCCACCACGCATCTACTATCCTAAGCGGGTACGTTTTTAACATCCTTATCACACCACCCAAGTGAGTATAAATCTAACTCTTCGCTTGCTTCACCACCCAAGTAAATCTATTAACTATTACTAAAACAAAACGTTGCTGATGTCATCACTGTCCATATGTTACTCTCATAATAAAAAAATTCTCGCCTAAATGCAAGGATGATGTCATCTTTTTTTTTTTTTTTTTTTTTTGTGAAGCTACCATATTTAACATTTTTGAAATTTGAATATTAGAAGCTTCTACATTACAACTATAATCTATCCATTTATTCTAAAAAAAATGAAACAGTTGTAAATAGCACACTAATAAATGGACTCATACATTGAAATATGTATTAAGCGACGTTGAACATGTATTATATCATAATTTTGATGAAAATCTAAAATTTTAAAATTACAAATATTTTTTACAAGGTGCATAATTCTTTTTTTTTTTTTGAAGAAACAAGATGCATAACTCTTATTTATATTTATCTATTTTGGTAAAATGTACAAATTATAAAAATAGATTTTATATAAATCGTGTATTGCACGGATTCTAACCTAGTATCCACCTATTTGGCTATGCCGTACCCTACATATACATGTATATTATCCACCTATACCCGCTTGAGACTATTTATTTCAAAAAACATAAAAGTATATACAAATAGTTGTGAAAACAAGGTGGAGATTAGACGGGCGGAGGGTTGTGAGGTGGGTTAGGCCGGTATGGAGTTTTGATTTCAAATCCACTCCCTACCCATTACCCATGGTGGGGGTAACTTTTGATATCCATAACTGCCCACTATCCATTTAAGTCATACCCATACCCACTCTAATTGGGGCGGGTGTGGTGCGGAATCCATGAAACTATATCAGCCTGTCATCCCTAATTATGAATTAATCAAAAGCTTAGAAGTTTAACCTCACAAGACGTACAATTCAAAGAAATGAGAGATGCACAATTATGAGTCTTTCCATGGCTTCGTTAGTCCACAAAGACTCCTTTTTGTGAATAAAGTCAGGTGTCCAGTTGTCCACCATGCATTCCTCATCTAACAAGCTTAATTCACATTTCGTTCGACATAATAAGCACAAGTCTCTTGTTTAATCCCTTGGGTAATGAAGCCGTTAAATTCCTCTAAAATCTCACATACTCCATAATTATTGAGATGTGAAATTTGGTTGGTGATGAGTCTTATAACCTCTCTTGGGTCCTATTTGGTGATGAGTCTTATAACCTCTCTTGGATCCTATTTGTTCTTTCCATAATTATTTGAATCCCTCCGTTTTTAAATATTTGCTCCACTTTTTATTTACGACTGTTTTTAAATACTTGCTCCACTTTTCATTTACGATTGTTTTTAAATACTTGTTACATTTCGTCACTTGGAAAGCTTTACCTCTGCGTAAAAGTCTTAATTATCTCAATCTCCTATTCTCCTTAATCCCAAATTTTATTTTCAATGTTTGTTATGCAAAACTTAAGTCATTCACAAAGCAAGAAGCAGGAAAAAAGGCCTTTGTCTGAATTCTTCCTTCACCTAACAGAACTCTTCTTCTTGGATTCGCCATTGTCGAAAGCTTCTCACTTTCTCTCTCCTCTAAAATGAGTGAGGTTTTTGATGGCTACGAGCGTCAGTACTGTGAGCTATCTGCCAATCTCTCCAATAAATGTTCCTCCGCTTCTCTTCTCTCAGATCAAGGTATATATATATATATATATATATATATATATATATATATATTTTAATTTCTCCTATTTTCCCGGATTTATTTATGCAGTTATGTTTGGATTCGATCGAATTGCGTGTGATTGTTTTTTTTTTATTTGTTGTTCTGTTGCTTTAGTTTGTGGGAATTTGATTGTTTATATGATTAGGGTTTTGAAAACTAGAAAAGGGTTTGAAGAGTGTAATTGTTGATGATGAATTGCTTCCTGTAATTGCGTTGGTTCTGGATTTGTGAGATTATGGTGGAGGGTTTGAATTATTGAAAAGTTTGATGTGTTTTTCAACTTGTTATGGAATTTGTGGGTTTGAGTTAGTTATGAGTAATGTTTCCTTTGATTTCGTAGTCTTCGATCCTTGGTAAGATCCATTCTAGACTCTGTTGTTGGTTTTGTAGCTAGTTGGAGGAAGTTGGGAGGGCCGGGGTGGGGGTGTTAGGGATCATATATCTATATAGAGTAGCAGAATAATGACGCGTGATCCAGTCAGCTTTGATGAATATCATTTTCGAGTGAGTAGAATAGTAGATACGAGTGATTTCATTATTCCAGTGAGACGATGAAAGTGGTGTCTTATGGGAAGTGATTGGTTTTGCATAACTTTGTAACGGCGTTAGAGGATATATTTTGTTTTAATGGCATGGTGTTGCAAACTCATTTGTGGTTAGATGTGATGAATTAGTGTTGATTGCCTAGAGAGGTCTGACTTGGTTGAGACTAGAGAGCTCTCTAGATTGTGGTTATGTTAATTTGGTATAAATTATGAAGCAGTTTTTTCTGTTTGGTAATATAAAATTTCATTGGGCACCGATGCATAAAGCATAAATTGTGTTGCAATTGTGCACCAAAAATAAAATAAAAAATTAAAAGAGAGAGAATTGTTAGGTGATCTAAGGTGTTATCATGCTGATGTAGTGACCTCCTATGTGAGTGTATTCACGAATGAATCAATTTAATTGTCTAACGATTTAATGGTCCTCATAGGATTATCCTTTGTAAGTATAGTTAAGTTGTATTATGATTGGTCATTTTCTATGTTTGGTTGCCATGTCAGTAGGAGTTATGATGATAATGTTTCACTTAACAATGTTTATGCCTAGATGCAAGTGCGATCCTAAGGTGAGATAAATGCTTACTGCTTCATAAGTGTGCTATGAGGTGAGATAGTGGTTAGAAGTGGGGTGGAAGGGAGGATGGAGCCTTTGCTCTTTTTCAGTTTAAAATTATGATTAAAGCCACCTTTTCAGTTCTTAATTACAGTGAAAAATCCCAGTCACTACTAATGAGGCTAAACCAATAATGTCATATAGAAACCCTCATTAGTGAAATCCATAACAGTAATATGGCCATCCCCTTGTAAAGCTGATTAGTGGAATTTTGTGTAGACACTAGACATGGGGATGATAATTCCATCCTTTCTTTCCATTTCATTTTCTTCACTCAAGGAAAGGTGTTTTCTTGTCTCTCCGAATTTGCTTTAATTTTTCATGTATTCAAGGAGGATCCATAAGTGCTTTTGTTGAAGAGGGGCAAAACTTATGTTACATGGAGCATAAAAATCAAATTTTAACATATTTTAGGTCTTTAGGATTTTATTGCTTTCTTAAGCAACTTAAGGGCATGGGTGATTTGATCTTTCTCCAAAATTCATTAAAGGAAAATCTTCCTTGATTTTTTATTTTTGTAATGGAGATATATTCCATATTCATGTTTTAAGGACAGCGGTAAAGATCAAGTGAAAAAAATGAAAAATGTTACTCTGTAATTTTTTTTTAAATTAAAAGGGGTTAGGAGTATCATTATGGGTCTAGCTTTAAAAGTAGCATTTTTTGTACCTTTCACATGGCAGATTCCAAACTACTACCTTTGTCATAAATTCATTGCCTATTCCCATTTTGCATGATTTTTGAGGAGGTTAAAGAAGTAAAGGGAATGAAGTGGCAGAGTGGGTGTGACCATGTGAGCCCCAATTGTATAGGAAATAGTAGGGAGAGAAATCTTATTAAAAATAAAATTGAGCTATGAACGTGCAATAGACACATAAGGAAAACGGGGCAATGAAATTGGGACAAAGGGAGCAACCTATGTGCATTTACATATCAAAATTATAAGATGATGAGCCGTCATTAGACTTTATTAAAAGCATGCATATTGCAGGATTACTTTCAAAGTATCAAGAATATTTTTCAAATTTCAAGGATGATCAATTATATTGAAGTCTTTTGACATATTTATAGTCTGTAAATATACTTGATGAATGTTTTCAAAATTTTCATTTCTTCGTAACATAGCCTTCAAAGATATACTCGATACTCCCTCTTTTTTTGCATAAAACTACTCTCACTTTTCATTTATTTATGTCCGTTCCATTTAGGTTACTAACCTTTTCATTATCTAATATATAAAGTGAAAGGGATTTTGGGTGATAAATTTCACTTTTCCAAATTACCCCTTAGCTTTTTTAAAAAAAATAAAAAATAAAAACAAAAAACTACCATCCTATCCTATTTTTTGGATAATAATACATACTTATCAACCTTTTTTTAATTACTCAATTAAAAAAAAAAAAAAAAAAAACTCCATGACTTCATCAACTGTTTTTTTTTTAATAACAATTATTTCTATAATTTTGTTAATAACAATTATTTTTATAATTTTTTTACTAATTTTTATTTATTTACTTATTTTTTATCAACAGTTTTTAAATTTGCACCCACTAATATTTAGTGTTTTTTTAGTAGAATAAAGAGGGGAATTGAGCCTAACAGATTTCTTATATTGCACACACACACGCATTGCGTGTGTTTCCTATAAAGGTAACGGTCTTTCTTCATTCAATTGCCCACCACAAGGGACTCACGCCCAATTTCTCTTCTACAAAGTAATTAAGTTGGTTACATGTGTTATTGCATCTAAGTTATGTTGGATTTGATCAATAATATTTTCTTTAACCTCAAATATATATTTTTTTTCTTTATATATTTACAATCAGTTAGTAGTTGCTTCAAAAATCATTATATTGTTTATTGCTCTTCTCAAAAAAATGTTGCAGATCACCCCTTTTTTTCAAATTCATTACAACTTTTTATTAAACAAAGACTAGTACTTTTATTAAACAAACTTTCTCAAGTCACATTTTATTAAAAAAAAAGTAAGATTGATGCCATTTAGCTTTGTGTAATATATGCTGTTTTGCTTGGGGTCAAAGCGTATTCGTTTTAAATAATTCTGTTTTTGTTGTTCACATTGTGCTGTTTAATATTCCCATTGAAAACAATCGCATGCAGTTGCAATAGTGGGAATGATCGCATTGTCTTAGAACCAGAAACTGCTTGTTATGGATAAATAGAATGGGTCACGGCTAATGCAGACTATGCAGTGTGGAAAAAAATCCTCATTAATGGGTTTAAGCCTTGTTTAAATTTTTAAAACATAAAAAATATCTTTCAGCTTAATAATAATAATATAGCCAAATCTATTATAATATGGATGGGTGACATATTTGGTGAACAGTAAATTACTCAAAATATCATGCAGTTAAACTACATAGTTAATAGCTAAATTTTTTTTGGTCGATTTAAATAAAAAAATGGAAGTAACGAGTAAACAAACTTTTTAATGCAGCGAGTCACTGTTACGTAGCAGATGATGAGGGGAGAAAGATATGATTATGTAATGGAGTTTTGTGTAATGACAAATCCAAAATCTGGAACAACCGTCTTTTAATTCCATGATTCTCCCTACCCATCCTGGGACCAATAGTTAGTATTGTGGTTGCTCCCATCTCACTGACAAACTGATTTAATTTTTCCTTGAAAACTGAAGGAATATTTAGGGCATAGAGGCGAAATTCCATTAAATAGGTGGACAATCTGTTTTTGAGATTTTTACTCCAAATTAAATTACTAAGAGGTTAATCGTTAATGAGTTGTACGTAGGGAATGAGGCTCAAATACTTCCCTCTTTCCCTTGCCCACTAATTATTATTTATTCTTGACTTTTGAGCCCAAGGACATGACATGTAGCGTGCAACTTCAATTGGAGTGGCAAAGTTTTGAACTCTCACACTTTCAAGTTTCTATGATTGTTTGCCACTGAAATCTTTTATATTTACTTTTTCTGTAATACTTGTATGTTTTGATGTTTGTCTTTGCTTGCTGGAGTCACTGCCCTTTTATGTCTATGTGATCCAAGAAGGTTCAAGTGCCCAAGAGCATATCTTCTGAATTAAATGCAATTTTACCAACAAGATATTTCTGTTATTCTTCCTTTATGATGTTTATGGAATTTAGTGCCTTTTAGGGGTATAGAAAGAGATCTTGTCCATAGTTTTGCCTTTTCATATTAGCCTCACTTGGGAGAAAGGCTCCTGCTGTCATTTAGTAGCCATGGGCAATTTTAGAGTGTGAAAAGGCCATATCCTTTTTATCTTAGGAAGTAAAGCATGTAGTATTTGTTTCTAAGCACTGTTAGAATCTTCATTTTTCTGATATCAAGTCTTGTTACTTTGCTGTGGCCTTGATCCTGTATAATTTGGTGAATCTCCTTTCATTTCTGAAGGATCTGTTTAAATCTGTCATTCATAGTAACGTGGAATTATTCAATCTGTAATGCATGGAATTCTGATTTTTCATATATTGATTGCAAAAATTTCAGAGCAGAAACAGCAGAAGCTGACTGAAATTAAGACAGGTCTGGATGAGGCTGATATATTGGTAATTATCTAGTTGCAATTTTATTGATTTGGGTTTTTTGTCGGTATTATCTTTTGCTGTAACCATTCTTTGGATTTATTCAGATACGGAAAATGGATCTTGAAGTGAGAAGCTTACAACCTAACATGAAAGCCATGCTTCTTGCGAAGCTGAGGGAGTATAAATCTGACTTGAATAATTTGAAAAGAGAAGCAAAGAGAATCAGTTCACCCAATCATGATCAGTCTGCCCGTGAAGAGTTACTAGAAGCTGGAATGGCAGATACATACAAGGTACGTGTGCATAGCTCTCTACATAATTCTCTCTCCAAACCTTACCCATTTCTCTATTTTAGTCTGTCCTACTTGCCCGTTTCCTGGTTTGGTATGAGTCCACCTAATATAATTTTGGTTCCCTAACCTTTTTAAACCATATTATATTGAATGAATATCCTGTCTCTTTTCTTGATAAAATACTCCCAACTTCGTTTTTATTATTCATAATTTTCTCAACAAATCCCACCGTAACAATTCTTTTAAAACCATGTGCCCTAGAGTAATAAGTAAGGTTTTGTGGAATGGAGGGAGTATATATATTCATATTCAAATAACTTACCCAGCAGTCTTCTCTCTCTCTCTCCTGTTTATGAGAACAATGATTTTACCCATCAATATTATGTTGGCTGGTAAATCACAGTGCATCAGGATTTATTTATGTTCGACCTCAATTACTTGTACTTTCTTAATTCTGAATGAGATTCTTTTATTTCCAACATCTGTATTTAGGTTTTCCTGACATACAAATATACAATAATCAACTTTTCTGAGGAGTCCTTTGAGCTTGTTTTTTACATAGCTGACTTAAGTTTTAGTCATTTGTACTTGTAGCGTCAGCAATTATGATTTTACCAACATATATAACTTTACATGTATCTGATGTGGAAAGGTGCAACTTCTGGCTATGGAAAGCTTGATATTGCTACGATTATTGAGATTACCAGCGTGGTGTCATCGTTAACAGATTTATTTCTCTTGCATCCCCAGACAATTGTCAAGCTATGCAGCATTACTTATATATTTTATGCCTTTGACTTGCTGAGTCGATTTTCTGTCTCCTATTTCTGCAATTTCATTTCTCTTTACACTATTAAGGAGCATGCAATAGCTACATTGATCATCTGTTGTGCAGACATCTTCAGACCAGAGAGAAAGATTGGCATTTTCAACTGAAAGATTAAATCAATCAAGTGACAGAATTAGGGAGAGTAGGAGAACCATAATGGAGACCGAAGAGTTGGGCGTTTCAATTCTTCAAGATTTGAATAATCAGCGTGAAACCCTCCTACATTCACACACAAAGGTATCCTTTTTATGCCTTGCTTAACTGCATTCATTCTTTTATATGTAAATCATGTTGGATGGAGGGGCTTGGGAGCTAAACAAGACATATGAGGGCAATGTAACTAACTTTTGAAATGATTTTCAGCAGTTATAAGAGTTTTTTTCAATGGCCAATGTTAAAAAGTTAACTCCGTTGGTATGTGAAAATGACAAGGAATAGTACATTTTTAACAAAACAAATAATGGTCCGTGTTTATGTTAACTGAAAATATGGAATGAAAAGAGTGAAGTGGTCACTTTGAACGGTGGGTTTAATATTCTACAATCTTGAGCTCACATTCAACAACATGAAGTCCCTCTTACACTAGAATGCAAACAAGTGATTAGAGATTGATAGTCTTAATGCTAAGCTATTCAGTGAACCTCGGTTTTGAAAATCACCGCCTTGTTTTGCAGCTTCACGAGGTAGACAATGCCATTGACAAAAGTAAGAAGATCCTGACTGCTATGTCACGAAGAATAAGCAAAAACAAATGGATTTTTGGTGGAGTAATTGGTGCTCTCCTCATTGCGATCATTTTCATTATTTATTTTAAGCTTACTCATTAGTGATCCTCCTTTGGCACTATAGTTGATGACTCTTATCTCTGCTTGCTTATGATTTCGCAAATCAAGAATCAGAAATGAACTGAGACTCATTTGTAATGCCATTGCTTTGTATATCTAGCACAGTTATTGATGTATGTAAACCAACAACTTTACGGTTCATTGTATAGTAGATACATCTAACGGTGTGTTGCTCGTATTGGGAATCAAGTCGGAACTCTAGCAATAAAGTGTCCCCTTGTATAATTTAGCAAAATATAGTATAAATAAGTACATAATAATTGAAAACTGAAAATTAAACAAAGTAACATCATATATCCAAAACAATGGAATAACACAAATTTATTTTTTTTTGTCTTTTTTTTTTGACAAAGAGTACAAATAAGTTTGATCAAATTGATTGATGTAATTGCAATAATTTTAAGAGCAATTTCACCGGTTAGATTAGATCTAACTTGACTGCCCAAATTCATTCTTATACGGTATATAAAAGTGTTTTTATGTGTATTAGGTGTTCTCACAAGAGCTAGTGAGAATAGGCTTATATGAGAATAGATCTAAAGTTTAGAACATGTGAGTAAAATTTTAGAACATATAAATAATATTTTAGAACATATAATTAAATATTTAGAGTATATGATTCAAAATTATGAGTAAAGTTTAGAACATGGAAGTAAAAATTATCTATCTGACAAATGATATCCATAAAAAATATATGAAATCTTAAATTAAATAAAAGGATTACAATTTTATTTAGAATTAAAATGTTCAATTGCCATATAAGCAAACAAAATTAACGAATGAGTGTTAAACTTAATCAAATTACTAAGAAATAAGTGCTTGCTTTTAGAGATCTGATCCGTAAATTTTAAATGAAAAAAAATAATTTATAACTTTGAATTAATTATAAATACCCAAATGAGATTGTAATGATATCCATAAAAAATATACGAAATCTTAAATTAAATAAAAGGATTATAATTTTATTTAGAATTAAAATGTTCCATTGTCATATAAGCAAACAAAAAATAACGAATGAGTGTTAAACTTAATCAAATTATTAAAAAATAAGTGCTTGCTATTAGAGATCTGATCCGTAAATTTTGAATGAAATATAATTTACAACTTTGAATTAATTATAAATACCTAAATGAGATTGTAAATTAAGGTCTTGTTCACCTCATCTTATTTTTGCTGAATTAAAATTAATTTTACTAAACTTAAATTATTTTTTTTAAACTTAAATTATTTTTATTAAACTGAAATTAATTTTACTGAACTGAAATTATTTTTGCTGAAATGAAATTATTTTTGCTGAACCGAAATTATTTTACTGATTCTCTATTATATATTTTTTAAAAGAACCTGATTTTTATTGAACTAAAATTATTTTTACTGAATTAAAATTATTTTTACTGAATATTATTTTTGTAAGGTGAAATGAACAGGCCTAATATTAATCAAATAATACAAAAAATTATCTTTCAAGATTCATAATTAATAAAAATGATTTATATAGATAAAAATTAATTTATTTTTTTTTTTTTTTTTTTTTTTTTTTTTTTTTTTTGTAAAAATCATAGTGCTCCAGATTTCACAATAACTAAAAATGGTGCATCGCATATGCTTACATCTGATCATTGTATAAATAATAATAATAGTAAGGGTTGTTGAAAGTCTCAGGCGATGTTCTCCGGCAGCCTTCAGTAGTGTTTCGGTGCAGATTTTCAAGCGTTATAAGGGTTGTTTTCAGGCCTTTTCTGGTCGCCTTGCAAGCGAGTTTAGGGGGCTGTTTTTGGGCGTTCTTGTGGCAGCTATCCGGCTGATTTTCCGGCGTTAATTGGTCCGACGACGACCTCTGTTTTCTGACGTTATATCAGCGGTTTTTGGGGGCGTTATTCAGGTGTAATTACAGGCTATTAAATTGTCTTTTGGTGCGGCTTTGTTGCAGTTTCTGGTGCTGTTTTGGGTGCTGTATTAGTGCGTTATTGAAGGGCTGTTATAGGCGACGGCAGCATGTTTGCACCATCAAATTGCACCTTATGTTTGTGGTGCAAATTTTGATACAATAATGTTGGTTTGCTTGCTGTTTTGGGTTGTCTTGTATAGGTTTTTGTTGGTGTTTCAAGGTGTTTTCACTTGTGGTTTTTGGTGGTGGTTGTGTGTAGCTATGTCGATTGCTCGGGTGAAGTTTCATTGCCTCTTTGTGGATCTTAGTGGTTGTCAAGATGGAAGTGGCAATGGTCTTACTAAAAGTTCTCTTATCAAGCATCTTTGTGATGGTCATTTTTGTATTGGTGCGCGGGATATCACACGGCATTCTCTTAATTCTAATTTGGTTGTTTATACTGAGACTGAAGTTACTTTTTCGCGTATGGGGATTTGGTTATGTGGGGTTTGCTACAAAACGCATACGCATCGTACTAAGTGTCGTCATAGTCCGAGTGAGATTGTGTCACCCCTGGATGAAGGAGTTGGTATTGTTCGTTTTGTGCTTCATGGTTTCTCCAAGCCGCAAGCCCCCTCTTCTCCGGCTCAGCTTGGGCGCATAGGTGGTTTGGTGAAGATCAACATCTGGGTTGCAGACAAGGCTTCTACGGCATGTTGGCCTTGGCCGAGCCTTTGAGGATGCGTTGAGCTTGTTCAATAGAACGGTGGAGTCTGACCATTTGAGTAATCCTAGTGAGGCCGCTGCCCCTAAACTCATGAAGAAATTGGCAGATATATATTTCACAAAGGTTACCGATTCTGCAGAATCCACCTTTTCTTTATCTCCTCATCAATCAGCATTGTGGAAATCGCAACAGGGAAATCACCCCTCTGCTTTGCTTCGGGCGGTTCCTATTTCAGGGTTGGGTCAGACGATGAACGCAAAGACTTACCGATGTGTGTTGCGCTACCGCTTGGGTGTTCCATTGTTCTTTGTCTCGACGCCGTGCTCTGCTTGTTCAAGGGTTTTTACTGGGGATTTTTTCGGTGATCACGCGGTGTCGTGTGCTGGTATAGTGGGTATTAAACATCGGCATAATGTTGTGCGGGATACCGTGGTTGATGTTTGTTATAGATTTGGGATTTTAGCTAGAAAGGAGACATTGGGTTGACTGGAGGGAACGACGGGGCCCTCAGACCTGCAGATGTGTTACTTTATTCTTGGGATCGTAGTCGCGATGTCTGTGTTGACTTGACAGGGTCTTCTCTTTTGACACAGTCTGGGTTATCTGACTTTGTTCCTGAATGGGTTGTGGCTGATGCAGCTCATCGGAAGCGGGTCAAGTACGAATCCAGTTGTCGGGCAATTGAGTATGGTTTCCTTCCTTTCTCTTTCTCTACACTTGGGGAATTAGAGAATGAGGCGGTTGCATTGCTGAAGCGGATTCAGAAGTTCTCGAAGACTCAAGATATTGGGGCATGTGCTGCTGCTCATATTTTCACTAGAATAGGATTTGCTATAGCTAGAGGAGTGGGGGCCCAGATTGTCTCTCAGCTTCCCACTAATTTTTTGTAGGTTGTATGACTTTGTCTTTTTTGAGATGATAATAATAATAATAATAATAATAATAATAATAATAATAATAATAATAGTAGTAGTAGTAGTAGTAGTAGTAATAATAATAATAATAATAATACTAATAATAATAATAGTAATAATAATAATAATAATAATAGTAATAATAATAATAATAATAATAGTAATAATAGTAATAATAATAATAATAATAATAATAATAATAAAATAATAATAATAATAATAATAATAATAATAATAATAATAATAATAATAATAATAATACTACTACTACTACTACTACTACTACTACTACTACTACTACTACTACTACTACTACTACTACTACTACTACTACTGATAATAATAATAATAATAATGTGTGTGTTGACTTGACGAGGTCTTCTCATTTAACACAATCTGGGTTGTCTGACTTTGTTCCTGGTCGTGTTGTGTCAGTTGCAGCTCAGCAGAAGCGGACAAGTATGAGGCGCGTTGCAGGGTTATTGGCTGTGGTTTTCTTCCTTTTTCCTTTTTTCATTGGGGGAATTAGAGAAGGAGGCTGTTGCGTTGCTGAAGTGGGTTTAGGCATTCGCTAGGACTTAGGATATTGGTGCTCATGCAGCTGCTCACATTTTCAGCAAGATCGAGCGCAAATTCTATCTCAGCTTCCCACTAATTTCTTGTAATTCGGTTGACTTTGTTGGTTTTTGTTATAATAATAAGAATAATAAGAATAATAAGAACAATAATAATAATAACAATAATAATAATAATAATAATAATAATAATAATAATAATAATAATATGAACAAGAATAATAAGAAAATAATAAGAAAAATACTAAGAACAAGGATAATAAGAACAAGAATAATAAGAACAAGCTAGAATAATAAGAGCAAGAATAATAAAAATAACAGCAAGAATAAGAACAACAAGAATAAGAACAATAATAATGAGAAGAATAACCACAACAACAATAATAAGAATAACAACAATCCCATTAAAAAAAACAATAACAACAATAATAATTAGTAATAACATTAAAAATAAAACCAACAACAACAACAACAATAATAATAATTTTAATAATAATAATAATAATAACAAGGTTTTTTTTTTTTTACTTTTACCACAAAAAAAACATGAAATTGTTTTTTACCACCAAAAGTTCTAAAACTTTTATTTTACCACAAAAAAAAATGTTTTTTTTACCATCTGTAGTAAAAAAAACGGTAAACCTAGCGAAATTTTTTAAATTCTTTGATTTTCGTGCCAAAAACATGGTCTTTAGGGGTTTGGGGGGCATTTTAGCCCAACAGGTCGAAGTTGAGGTCAAAATTGACAAAAATGATCATAAATTGATAAATGGCTCGTTTTTCTTACTAAAAAATACCCCGATTTGCGAAACACAAAAAACGAAACACTTTCAATCATTTTTTGTCAATTCTGACCTCAAATTGGATGCAAAGGTTCAAAATGCTCCCCTAAACCTATAAAGAACCTGTTTTGCGCACGAAATTAAAATTGCAGATTTTTTTTTTTTGAAAAACCATTAACGGCTTTCTTGATGGTAGATGGTAAAAAAAAGTTAGAATTTTTTTAGTGGTAAAATAAAATTTTTAGAAGTTTTAATGGTAAAAAACAATTTTGTGGTTTTGTTGCAGGTGAAGAACTTGACATTTGTTGCAGGTGACATGTTTGA